TCAGTAGAAAAGTGGTGGGACCTAGTAGAGATGTGACCCAACAGAATTATGATGGGCCACAGTACAAAGATAGTGTACCCTGGCACAAAGGTGGTGAGCCCTACTACAACACTGATGCCACTTAGTGAAAATGTAGTGGGCCAGTGATGGTCTCTAGTGGAAAAAGTGGTCATCCCTTGTATGGTGATAGACACCATTAGAGTAGTGGTAGGCTTTAGTACAGTGTTCATATTCCCTAGTAGAAAAGGAGGTGGGCCACAGTGTAATAGTGACGGTTCTAGTACAGGGGTTTCCATACTTTCTAAACAAAAGGCCAGTGTACTGTCATTTAGACTTTAGGAAGGCTGGACTGTGGCCTTCGGGAGTAGAAAAGGCCCCGACGTCAGTGGGAAAAACACTGACACCACCTTTAGAAGAATTGTGCCCCATCATTAGTGTCATTGGGAGGAACTGTGCCCCATCATTGGTGTCATTGGACTCCATTGTTGGTGTCTTTGGAAGATATTGTGCCACATCGTTGGCGTCATTGAGAGGAATTGTGCCCCTTCATTGTTGTCATTGGACCCCATCGTTGGTGTCATTGGGATGAATTGTGTACCATTGTTGTTGTCAGTGGGTCCCATTGTTGGTGTCAGTGGGAGGAATGGTGCCCCTTCATTGGTGTCAGTGAGGGGAATTATGCCCTACTGTTGGTATTAGTGGGTCAAATACTAGCCACAAATTATAGCAAGCCAAGGACCACAGTTTGGAGATCACTGTTCTAGTAGACATGTGGCAATCCCTAACAGAGTGGTGACTACCTTAATTAGTGAGAAGTCTTAGTACAACTGTGAGGGCTCCTAGCTGAAAGGTGGTGGGCCTTAGTGGAATGGCAATGGTGTTTTGTTATATGGTGATGGCCTCCAGTAGGGTTGTGATGTTCCCAAGCAGAAATGAGGTGGACAGTAGAGTACAACTGTTGACCTCTACTAGAAAGGTGGCAGTTTCTGGTACAGTGGTAAAAGCCTCTTATACAAAAGTGTCAACTTATATGATACAGTTTTGATATCCCCCAAGCAGAAAGAAAGTGAGAATTCCTCTTTAAGTCACTTATTGACCTACTAGGGCAGTTCCCATTGCCTCGTAAACATCCAATTGACAGGGTCAGGAGCCTTTAGGAGACATGACACTACATCTCTGAGTGCCCGTACATCAGAGGCGTAGCTAGGATATTTTGTGCCCAGGGACGAACTATAAAATTGGCACCCCAGCCCCCCTCCCCGTTTAATCACATCAGTGACACCAATGATGGGGCACTATTCCTCCCACTGACACCAATGACACTTAGCTTGCTGACCCCTGCTCCAGCCTAGGCTCCTTCCCTCTCCCATCCACAGCCAGCATACCTGGTTGCAGCAGCACCATCTGCACGGCACACTTACCAGTCAGCTATGTTCTTCACTTGCTCCAGCCGCTCCCTCACTCAATCTTCGCGCTGCCGCTCAGCTCCTCCTCTCCAAGCTCCGCCTCCTCGCAGGTGATTGGCCGCCTGTGTGCCTTTCCTGAGCTACAGTTCTGACACCCAATCACCGGTGAGGAGGTGGAGCTTGCAGAGGGAGGTATGAGCTGCCATAGGCTGTCCAGTGATCCCGAGGGTTTGGCCAGATAACAGGGGCGGCATATCATCCCGCCCACACATGACGTCCAGGGAAAAGAAGACACCGGACCTGCGGACCTCTCTACCTCTCCTCCAGCAGCGCCTCCTGGACTGGATCGTCATGGGACTGGGACACGGAGCCAGGTAAGACACAGCAGCCCACTGCCCACCCCTGTACTAAGTGTCCCTTCCGCCGCCCCCCCTAAAAAGTGCCGCCCTAGGCAAACGCCTTGTTTGCCTCGTGGCAAATATGCCCCTGGTTGTAAGCCTCATTTGGCGCCCGGGTATATATGTACACCCCTGCCCCCCCCCCAGCTATGCCTCTGCCATACATTATATTCACAAACCTGTGTACAGGATGGTATTTTGTTAGCCCATAAGAATTATTGTCGATGTTGTCCAAAATGCAGGTTGAGGTTTTCCTCCTATGTCTATGTACTAAGTTAATTGTTTGTCTTTGGTTGCCTCCAGTGGTTGAATCTTCAGAGAAAGCAGAGAGGCTTTTTCCAAGAGACTGTGCGGATATCTACAAACAGGGGATTCGAGAAAACGGAATTTACACTGTCCAGCCCATAGCAGTGCGACAGCCTTTTGAGGTATAGTGAGTTACTTATAACTGCTGTAAATTTGTACATATACAGAAATGCAATGCTAAGCAATTCAAAAATAAAACATTTCAAGTGAATTGAAAAACTAATAGAAAATAAAGTGCTCATAAAATAACCGTGATCTCAATATTAAGGGTGGAACTGATCGAAACAGATATAATAGTCAGTCAAAACATCCCAAGTTATAGTGATGAAACCATGAACACCCCCGATCCTTAATGTGAATAAAGAGGAATCTTCTGTGCAGAAATATTCACCCCGATTCCAGCATATCACCAAAAGCCAGCAACACAAGCCCCCTACCAGATTGGTTTGACCCCCATATATTGAGCGGTCAAATAGCACTTTTCCATAGACAATCTGCAGGCACCCCTAGAAGACGTCTTTTGATGACGAAACACGTCGGGTGGAGCCTCCCTCTGATGTCATCGCACTGTCGGCCATCTTGGAAGTGGTTCTTTTGAATGCTTTACAGGTGCCTGGGCACCCTGGTTGAAAAAGGCTGCACTAATGAAAATGAATGTGTAGCTTAGATTGATAAAAGACAAACATTTTAAGATTGCTGTTCATAAGAAGCATCAGCTGATGTGAACCATGCCTTACAAAAAAGGAGTTCTCTGAAGACATACGATCAGGAGTAGATGATCTGCATTAGGCTGGAAATGGATACAAAACAATTTCAAAGTGCTTAGACATCCATCAGTTGACAGGCAAACTGTCTATAAATGGAGACAATTTAGTACTGTGACTACTCTTCCTAGAAGAAGATTTCCAAAGCACAACACAGAATCCTTGATGAGGTAAAGAAGAACAAATGAGTATCAGCTAAAGTCTTCAAAACATCACTGGAACTGGCAAACATCCCTGTTCATGAGTCTTTTATTTCAGAAAACAAGTTAATTTCAAGGGGTTCACATACTTTTTCTTGCAACTGTATGTACCTTAATGTAGGCCTTGAATTTTCCACTCGCCTGCTCGCATTGGTGAGTGGAAATTATGGTGGGGGTGAGTGTGTCCCCAGGGACGTCTTGCTGAGCAGGCTCAGAGCTCAGGCCGGATCTGTCATTGGCACTGGGAGCCGTCAGACTGCTCAATAGCTGAGCGCAGTGAAAGCAAAGTAAGGAGTGTGTGCTGTGCTCTCTGCCTCCCCCTAGAGTGCAGTACCCGGCTCTGTGAGTGAACAACGAAGTACTGCAACTTTTTATAGGGGGGTGTGTGTGTGTATTTGTATGTGTGTATGTACATGTGTCTGTGTGTATGTGTCTGTACATGTGTATGTGTACATGTGTCTCTGTGCGTGTGTGTACAGGTTTCTGTGTGTGTATGTACATTTCTGTGTGTGTACAGGTGTCTCTGTTTGTTTGTGTGTGTGTGTATGTACATGTGTCTGTATGTAAACCTACATGTATGGGTGGTTTGGTCAGGTTCAGGGTGATGTGGTTATTATGGATAGTACAGTATGGGGCATTTGATGTACTGATGGGTTGGATAGTAGGTAGGATATGCTTGGTGGAGTTATGGTTTTGTTAGTGAAAGATTATGGGGGTTATGGTTGTACAGTGGGGCAAAAAAGTATTTAGTCAGCCACCAATTGTGCAAGTTCTCCCACTTAAAAAGATGAGAGAGGCCTGTAATTGGCATCATAGGGAGACCTCAACTATGAGAGACAAAATGAGAAACAAAATCCAGACAATCACATTGGCTGATTTGGAAAGAATTATTTGCAAATTATGGTGGAAAATAAGTATTTGGTGAATATCAAAAGTTCATCTCAATACTTTGTTATATATCCTTTGTTGTCCTGGGATTTTTGCTCACCGTTCTTGTGATCATTTTGACCCCACGGGGTGAGATCTTGCGTGGAGCCCCAGATCGAGGGAGATTATCAGTGGTCTTGTATGTCTTCCATTTTCTAATTATTGCTCCCACAGTTGATTTGTTCACACCAAGCTGCTTGCCTATTGCAGATTCAGTCTTCCCAGCCTGGTGCAGGTCTACAATTTTGTTTCTGGTGTCCTGCGACAGCTCTTTGATCTTCACCATAGTGGAGTTTGGAGTGTGACTGTTTGAGGTTGTGGACAGGTGTCTTTTATACTGATAACAAGTTCAAACAGGTGCCATTGATACAGGTAATGAGCGCAGGACAGAGGAGCCTCTTAAAGAAGAAGGTACAGGCCTGTGAGAGCCAGAAATCTTGCTTGTTTGTAGGTGACCAAATACTTATTTTCCACCATAATTTGCAAATAAATTCTTTCCAAATCAACCAATGTGATTGTCTGGATTTGTTTTCTCATTTTGTTTCATAGTTGAGGTCTACCTATGATGCCAATTACAGGCCCTCTCATCTTTTTAAGTGGGAGAACTTGCACAATTGGTGGCTGACTAAATACTTTTTGCCCCACTGTATGCGTTGCATGGTCTAAGTATGATGGAGTGTTTAGGGGGACATTGGAGGCCCTGATGTAATGTGGGGGGACTCTGGGGACCCTGATGTAATGTGGGGGGACTCTGGGGACCCTGATGTAATGTGGGTAACATTTAACAGTGTAATTTCATGAAATAATTTACGAGGGTGTGTTTAGGGTCAGAATTAGGGGTGTAGCAGGGTAGGGGTTGGGTGGGGCAACTGGTGGCAAGTAACTCTTAAGGCCTGGCTAGTAGCTCAGGACTTGAAATTTTAAGCCCTGCCTTAATGCCTAGGTTCATATTTTTGGTTCACCATGTGTGCTTCTGGTTGGCTTTAGGTTTACTGTGACATGGTGACGGATGGAGGAGGCTGGACGGTGTTTCAGCGAAGGCAGGATGGCGCGGTCGGCTTCAACCGGACATGGCAGGAGTACAAGCAAGGTTTTGGCATTCTTCAAGGAGAGCATTGGCTGGGCAATGAACATCTGCACAGCCTAACCAGGTCCAGCCAGCACACCCTTCGTATCGAACTAGAGGACTGGTACGGTGTGAAACGGCACGCCGTCTATCGAAAATTCAAAGTCGCCAATGAGCAAAACAAGTATCGACTTACCGCCAGGGAGTACCACGGGAACGCCGGAAACGCTCTTAGCTACAGCCGAAACTACAACCACGATCACAAGTATTTCACAACGTATGACAGCGATAATGACAATTATACGTCGGGAAACTGCGGGATGTATTACGGATCTGGTTGGTGGTTTGACACCTGCCTGGCGGCCAATCTAAATGGGAAGTATCACAAGGGGCGGTACATCGGCGTGACCAGCGGAATCTACTGGGGGACTTGGTACATTCTGACAGATAAGAGGACGAATCAGAAATACTCGTTCAAGAGAGCCGAAATGAAAACAAGGATACTGAACTCCTAAAAGACTGGACTTTTTTTTTTTTTTGAGGACTTCATATTCATTTATGGAATTGTAGTGATAATAAGTATTTTTAATGGACAAAAAAAAACTCTAAAAGAATTAAAAGGCCTCAGCACAAAACATTTACATCACGTTTCAGACATAGGACTTTAAAAACACTGTAAAGGTTTATACTGATTTTTAAATAAATAATCCAAAATATGACCGTTGCATAATCTTCCTAAAGCCTTCCCATCAGTCTTGTCCAGTTGTAGCAGCTCCTCTCCTGTCCTGACACGGCTTAGTCTGATTTCACCGCACACTGTGAGCTTCTCACAATGTGCATTAGAAAATGCAGCAAGTCAGATACAGCCCGCCTCATTTCCTGATGACAAAGAAAAGAAGCGCCTCTAAGTGCAGCAGAACCACTTTTAATAAATACCAAATATAGGAGAACTCACAAGTAATAGTAGTAAAACAGGCTTGTATTGAGGTACAATTTCCAAGAGGTTGAGGAACGGCTGTGTCCCGGCTTTAGTCAGCTGCATCTGCATCCAGGAATAACGTGGTGACAGGAGGGAGGAGCTGGCCGGCATGAGTAACCTCACGAAGATGGCGTCTGGAACGCACGTTGAGGCGCGATGTCGACGTGATGACGTCAGGGACCAGCATGCATAGCGACGCGTTTCAGAGCATGCATTTACTTCTAAGGGCGGAAGCGTGCTCCTTTGTCAAGTTTAATTTCCTGGCTGGAGGACATCCTCCGCAGGAGCAGGACTGACCATTTGGGAACTCGAGCACTGCCCGAGGGCCCGGGTCAGTAGGAGGCCCTATGAGATGCCCCAGGTACCTTTCATAGGCTTTTTGGGGTGTGGTTTGAGTGTGGGTGAGGACACAGGGGCCCCATGATCCCTTATTGCCCAGGGGCCCCATGAGTTGTCAGTCGGCCCCTGGTCCTGCACCATCTAACTCTTTCCTCCCCAGCCTGACTGTCCCTGACCTTCTGTGCAGTGCCTTCCAGCAAATGTAATCCTCAAGCAGTCTTCTGCAGGCCCAACGCCCAGCTTCTATTGAGGTCCAGATTGCAATCTCCTGTCTCACAATCTTTCTCCTAGGGGCAGCATCCCCCCCAGGAGACTGGAACCCTCCTTGGAGAGGAAAGACCCATCTACTCAGGCCAAGGAGAATAATAATTGGCGCTGGAGAGGTGTATGGTTGTATTAAAAGTCCATATAATGGTCCATATGGGAGACCATGTGAAATTCAAGAGGGAGCACAGATATGCGGCATCCCTAGAGCAAAGCTGAAACTCTGTAAGTAGAAGGAAGCAGAGGGGTGCCAGACTAAGTGCCAGGGGCGGACTGACAACTCATGGGGCCCCCGGGCAATAGGGGATCATGGGGCCCCTGTGTCCTTGCCCAAACTCAAAAAAGCCTATGAAAAAGGTACCAGGGGCATCTCATGGGGCCCCCTACTGACCCTGGGCCCTCGGGCAGTGCTCGAGTTTCCACATGGTCAGTCCGCCCCTGCTAAGAGCAACATTAATGGTAAATTTTTTTTAAAAACATAAAGAGTTCTTCAATAAATCAGTAGTCCTTAGTATAAATCATATATGCATGAAAAAAGTTCTAAAACAATAGAGCTCCGTGTGACTTCAGTGCAAAATTCCTTCAAATGGATAGGTGAGAGGCAAGGTAATGGGTAAAGTGCGCACTCACCGGACGCACAATGGTTATGCGCAGTGTATAGTATAGTGGAGGTCTGCTAATGGGTCCCTCAGCATAGGACCGGGATCAACCCAGGATAAGTAGATGTCATCAAGATATATTCAACCGGAGGTCCCCTTTAAGGACATGGGTGCAGCCTCTTCAGTGTGGTACAGTGGTCACCAGGGGGAGCTCTGGGGGATTAGGTGCTCGGTAAAGAGCAATAGATGGAAAAGCCCATAGTGTAGTAGACTCAAATAATGTTTAATGAAAGGTTTAAATAAAAGGTATTTCCATACATGTGGATGTGAAAAATCTTGCGATGAACATGAACAATAAAATAACAGCCATAGGGTTGCTATGAGCACTAACCAGCTGGTTTGGTAATAGGGGCCGTCATGAACATGGCAACCCCAACTGAGGACGTAAACACGTACGAAAAGCGTTTTGGAGGAGCCTGCAAGCCTTGACGTCACGCCGCCAGATCAAGGAGGTCCGACGGCGTGACGTCAAGGCTCGCAGGCTCCTCCAAAACGTGTTTCGTACGTGTGTACGTCCTCAGTTGGGGTTGCCATGTTCATCGCAAGATTTCTGGTGTATGATTACACATCCACATGTATGGAAATAACTTTTATTTATACCTTTCATGTTATGCCAAACGTGAAGTCACACGGAGCTCTATTGTTTTAGAACTTTTTTCATGCATATATTATTTATTATTATTATTATTATTATACAGTATTTATAAAGTGCCAATAGTTCGCTCAGCGCTGTAAATTACAAAGGGGGACAGAACATGTGACAGAACAATACCAATACAATGCAAAACATGAGGGGATTGAGGGCCCTGCTCTTTCGAGCTTACAATCTAGGAGGGAGGGGATGGTGGCACAGGAGGAGATAGCTGTGGGGGATGGAGTGGTAGGAAGAGTGGAGGAGGTCGGCAAGTTAGCAGGGGGTGGGGTAGGCTTCCCTGAAGAGATGGGTTTTCAGGGTGCGCCTAAAGGAGAGGAGAGTAGGTGATAATCTGATGGGTTGGGGCAGGGAGTTCCAGAGGATGGGTGACACCCTGGAGAAGTCCTGGAGGCGGGCATGGGAGGAGGAGACCAGGGAACTAGAGAGAATGAGGTCTTGTGAGGAGCAGAGTGTGCGTGTTGGGTGGTACTTGGATATTAGGTCGGTGATGTAGTTCGGGGCAGTATGGTGGACGGCTTTGTACGTCAGTGTTAGGATTTAGAATTTGATCCGTTGCACAATCGGAAGCCAGTGGAGGGATTGGCAGAGGGGGGTGGCGGAGATGGAGCGGTTGGAAATATATGTATATATATGATTTATACTAAGGACTACTGATTTATTGAAGAACTCTTTATATTTTTATAGGTTTAGCGCTGCACTTACCTTGATTATATGTGTTATTTGGAAGGTTTTATGGCTCCCTGTTACTGTGCAGAGTCGCTTATTTCTATTGAGCGCTCGCTGAGTTATTTTTTCTTTATTAAAAACATACAATTGGCAACTCACAGCAGAATAGACAAAGATAGTCATGTCAGGATGATGCACTAAAAACGAATAGGTGTGAACCAGGCCTTACGGTGAGTCACTACAGCTCTGGACCTACTACATTGTTATATTTAGTTGTGTAGTGCTAGTAGAATGTTTCAAAGGTTTGCAACAATGTAACAGATTCAACATCATGTTCTTTTCTTTTTTTTTTTTCTCTGAGCTTTATCAGTTCATTTATATAAGTCTTAAAGCAGAACTACCTTTTTTTATATTTTGTATAGAGTAAAGGAGAGTTGAAACTCCTGTCAGGTCTTTTTTTTTTTTTAGCCATTGGAGAGATTTTTCTTCACTTCCTGTCCCATAGCCAAAAACAGGAAGTGAGAGGAAATCTCTCTGAAGTGAAGGGATTCCTGGTTGTCACCAGTCCTAGTGTCCCCATTGGAAGATGCACTATATTGTCAAAAGTATTGGTCGGCCTGCCTTTCCACGCACATGAACTTTAATGGCCCCCCAGTCTTAGTCCGTAGAGTTCAATATTGAGAACTTTTGGCCCCCCGCCCTTTCCACGCACATGAACTTTAATGGCCCCCCAGTCTTAGTCCGTAGGGTTCAATATTGAGTTGGCCCCGCCCTTTGCAGCTATAACAGCTTCAACTCTTCTGGGAAGGCCGTCCACAAGGTTTAGGAGGGTGTCTATGGGAAGGTTGGACCATTCTTCCAGAAGCACATTTGTCAGGTCAGGCACTGATGTCGGGGGAGGAGGCCTGGCTCGCAGTCTCCGCTCTAATTCATCCCAAAGGTGTTCTATGGGGTTGAGGTCAGGACTCTGTGCAGGACAGTCAAGTTCCTCCACCCCAAACTGGCTCCTCCATGTCTTTACGGACCTTGCTTTGTGCACTGGTGCGCAGTCATGTTGGAACAGGAAGGGGCCATCCCCAAAGTGTTCCCACAAAGTTGGGAGCATGAAATTGTCCAAAGTGTCTTGGTATGCTGATGCCTTAAGAGTTCCCTTTACTGGAACTAGGGGCCAAGCCCCACCCCTGAAAAACAACCCCACACCATAATCTCCCCTCCACCAAACTTTACACTTGGCACAATGCAGTCAGGCAAGTACCGTTCTCCTGGCACCCGCCAAACCCAGACACGTCCATTGGATTGCCAAACAGAGAAGCGTGATTGGTCACTCCAGAGAACATGTCTCCACTGCTCTAGAGTACAGTGGTGGCGTGCTTTACACCACTGCATCCAACGCTTTGCATTGCACTTGGTGATGTAAGGCTTGGATGCAGCTGCTCGGCCATGGAAACCCATTCCATGAAGCTCTCTATGCACTGTTGTTGTGCTAATCTGAAGGCCACACCGAGTTTGGAGGTCTTTAGCTATTGACTCTGCAGATGGTTGGTGACTTCTGCGCACTGTGCGCTTCAGCATGTGCTGACCCCGCTCTGTCATGTGACGTGGCCTACCACTTGGTGGCTGAGTTGCTGTTGTTCCCAGTTGCTTCCACTTTGTTATAATCCCACTAACAGTTGAGCGTGGAATATTTAGTAGCCAGGAAATGTCACGGATGGACTTATTGCCCAGGTGACAACCTATCACGGGACCACGCTTGGAGTCACTGAGCTCCTGAGAGCGACCCATTCTTTCACATATGTTTGTAGAAGCCGTCTGCACGCCTAGGTGATGGATTGTATACACCTGTGTCCATGGAGGGGAATGAACACCTGAATACAAGGATATGGAGGGCTGGCCCAATACTTTGGGTAATATAGCGTATACTCTCTATTCCTTTTTTGGAGACAACCCAAAATTTGGGATTTTCTTTCACTTTCACTCTTGGTGAAAACTGTAAACGGGACAAACAGAGAGGGGGAATCTCTCTAATGGATCCACAGACAGCAATAAAAACTAGACAGGGGCTCTAATCCCTCTCTGCTCTATCCAAAACTAAAAAATTATTTGCCTATATATATATATATCTAGTTATACTTTAATTCATTATTTAATTTATTATTTCAATGTAAACAGCGTAAGGCTTTGTTCACACGCAAAAACGTGCTGCCCTTTTGCAGACCCCCGCACATTCTGCTAGAGCATGCGCATTCATGCGGTGCCACAGTAACATGCGCTGTGGCGCAGTGTGATTTTCAAAATGGGTCAGACACCTCTTTTGCATGTTTGGGGAACATAGAGCAGTCCATTGAAATAATAGGGCTGTCCTATACAAAATGCATAGGTACACGCTAAATCATGCAAAAAAACATGTATGACCTATGGCACCTGAGAGGTGTGAATGGAGCCTAAGTGCATTCACTTGACATGGTTTCAGCCTCTTGTTGTTTTACTGTGCAATCTGTAGCAGAGCTCCAGCAGGAGGAGAAGAAGCAGCAGCACAGAGAGCCAATAGGGTGGGTTTCAATGCAAGGAGCAGATAGGAGGAGAGAGTGACAGAGTGATGAGCTCATCATTCTGCTGCTTCTCCTTTCACTGGTACTGTGGGTCTAGGTTTCTGTTTACAGTGGCTACATGGTTGGCATTTCTGCCTCTCGGTACTAAGGTTGTTGTTTCGAATCTCAACCACGGCACCACCTGCCTGGTGTTTGCATGTTCTCCCTGTGTCTGTGTTCAGGTGCTCCGGTTTCCTCCCACACTCCAAAGACATGCTGGTTAATTGGCTCCTGTCTAAATTGTCCCTAGTATGTGTATGTATGAATGTGAGTTAGGGACCTTAGATTGTACCCCCCTTGAGGGTTAGGGACCTTAGATTGTACGCCCCTTGAGGGTTAGGGACCTTAGATTGTACCCCCTTGAGGGTTAGGGACCTTAGATTGTACGCCCCTTGAGGGTTAGGGACCTTAGATTGTACGCCCCTTGAGGGTTAGGGACCTTAGATTGTACCCCCCTTGAGCGTTAGGGACCTTAGATTGTACGCCCCTTGAGGGTTAGGGACCTTAGATTGTACGCCCCTTGAGGGTTAGGGACCTTAGATTGTACGCCCCTTGAGGGTTAGGGACCTTAGATTGTACGCCCCTTGAGGGTTAGGGACTGATGTGAATGTACAATATATATATATATGTAAAGTACCTGAAATAAATAAAAAAAATACTTGCCTTTAGTTATACCTTAAAGCGGAGTTCCACTCACTCTGTAAAAAAATAAAAGTCAGCAGCTACAAAAAATGTAGCTGCTGACTTTTAAAAAAACAGCCACTTACCTGTCCCACGATCCTGCGGTGCCCCCGCCGCAACCCATTTCACCGGCTGTCCTGTATTCCAGGTGCTGGCATCTTCAGTGTGGGCACCCGGCTGTGACAGCTTGCGGCTTCACAGCCGGGTACCCACTGCGCATGCGTGAGTAGTGCTGCTCTTCCTGAATGGCCCTGTAGTCTTCTGGGTCCTGTCACGTGTCCCAGGAGACTACGGGGAGGGAGGAGGACAACGTCCGCTTCCGATTGCCTAGGCAATCGCAGCGGAAGTGGGAGTGGGTACCTGTCAAATTCGGGTACCCGCTCCCCAAAGGTGCCAATCCTTAATGGGGAGCGGGGGACCAATCTTTAAAGCGGAACTTCCCCTTTTAGGTGGAACTCCGCTTTAAGGCTCGGTTCACACTAGGTGACTCCAAATTCATGCGACTTTTACACCCTATGGCACTCAAGTCACAAGAAAATAGTGCAGACCAGTGGCGTCCCTAGGCAGGTGCGGGGGGTGTGTGCCACACCGGGTGACACCTACCACACAGGGTGACACCGGACCCGCTCCACGAAAAGGTAGGTTGTAAAGCAAGCTGACGATCCCCCTAGGATGGATGGGATCTGCGGATTGAGCATAATGGATCGGAGTCCAATCCATTATTCTCCCCAATCTGCAGATCCGATCCATCCTGCAGGGATTGTCTGCATGCAACCTATACGGGGTGACACCGGACCCGCTCCATGAAAAGGTAAGTTGTAAAGCAAGCCAACATTCCCCTAGGATGGATTGGATCTGCGGATTGAGCATAATGGATCGGAGTCCGATACATTATGCTCAATCCGCAGATCCAATCCATTCTGCGGGGATGGTCGGAGGGGGTGTCACCAAGTGATATCGCATCGGGTGACACCAACCCTAGGGACGCCCCTGAAATCGCAGTGACTTCAGACGTAGTCATTGGAACAGCTGTCATAGGAAAGTATGGCATTTTACATGTCCTGCGACCTCGAATGTCGCAAGTTGGATCCAAAGTTGCAGGAGTGGCAACCGAGCCTAAATCTTTTTGTCAGCACACCTCACTATCCTTCCCTCTAAAATTTTATCACTCACAGAAAGGATCATCAGAGCCGACCCGAGCTCAGAATTAAAGGTTCAATAGACCCACAACTGATATATAGCTTTTGTGTGGCTGTTGGTAGCCAGGTGTCCCCAGAGCTGAGATATCCTTGGCCCCCCCGTTCCCATCTGTGCGATTTGTCACACTGGGATCGTCACAAAGCAATGCACAACAAGAGCGATCCAATCATTCCTCATTCTCACCTGTGCAATTTGCTTCGCTTCGGCTGCAGCCTGACAATTACACAACAAGAGGAATCCCATTACTGTCTATGGGGCCAATTCCCGTCTATGCAACACGCGTCTGCGCAACATCTGCATTTTTTGACCCTATAGACTTCAATGGGAGTGCTTAAAATGCATTTTTTTTTAAATTCCTGAAAAATGCATGAAAATGCAGACACACAAATGTGAAACTAGCCTTCTTGGCTCTGGGGTATTCTATTGCCCTCAGCCTCCTCCAAATTCTTTTTTTTTTTTTTTTGCTGCTGTGATTTGACCTGTTAGAGGGTAGCTATGTTCTTTTATGTTTTTATGATGCATACTAGCACATTGTGACATTACGTTGCAAGGAGATGATTTTTTTTTTCTTTTTAAAGTCAAGTTTACTACCCCTTTAAGGGGGAGCTATAGGGTGTTGGCAAAAACATGGCTCAGCTGTGTGTTTTTAAAGCCCCCCCTTCAGCCACAAGTGAAACAATTTCATGAAAAATAGATTACAAGACCATTCATTAACTGCCCCTATAGCCAGGGGCGGTCTGACAACTCATGGGGCCCCCAGGCAATAGGGGATCATGGGGCCCCTGTGTCCTTGCCCAAACTCAAAAAAGCCTATGAAAACGGTACCAGGGGCATCTCATGGGGCCCCCTACTGACCCTGGGCCCTCGGGCAGTGCCCGAGTTTCCAAATGGTCAGTCCGCCCCTGCCTATAGCAGAAACACTGCTACAGGGTGGCACAGGTGCGAAAACCACATATATATACGTGATTTTGAAGTAGGGGGTGCCCCCATTCGCAGCCTCAGCTGTCAATCACTGGCACCTAGCGATCTCCGTGCATTACCGAAGGGGGAGAGTCCTGTATGCAAACAATACAGGTCTCTCCACTGTCAGTTCCTGCACACTGCTTTGTGTGGCTCTGCATACAAAGCAGTGTACTTACAGTGAAACATACACACAGCACATCATGTAAAACAGCACACAGTTAACCCTTTGATTGCCCTGGATATTAACCTCTTCCTGCCCAGTGCTATTAGTATAGTGTCAGTGCTTTTTATTAGCACTGATCACTGTATTGGTGTCACCGGGGATGTCAGTGTCACCAGGTCAGTTCCCCCCCCAGTGTCAGAATGCCCGCCGCAGTCCCGCTATAAGTCGCTGATCGCCGCCATTACTAGTAAATAAAAAAATTTCCAGTATCTATACCGCCATTTGTAAACGCTATAACTTTCACGTAAACCAATTCATTTACACGTATTGGGATTTTTTTTAGCAAAGACATGGAGAAGAATACATTTTGGCCAAAATTTATAAAGAAATGTGATTTTATAAATTTTTTACTGGACGTGTTTAATAGCAAAAAGTCAAAAATATATCTTTTTTTTTCAAAATCATAGGTTTTTGTTTGTTTATAGCGCAAAAAATAAAAAAAGCACAGGCAATCAACTACAACCAAAAGAAAGCTCAATTTGTGGGAAAAAAAGGACATAAATTTAATTTGGGTGCAGCGTTGCATGACCGCGCAATTGTCAGTTAAAGTAATGCTGCGCCGTATCACAAAAAAATGGCCTGGTCAGGAGGGGGGTTAATCCTCAGGAGGGTGAGGGGTTAATGAATGTGGGTTTTTTTTTGGGAGAATAAGGATATTGTTCAGTGTCACCTCATTATCCAATCACAAATCTGGGGGTGTGTCCTTGACCAAAGTGTATTGCTTAGCTGCACTGGGAAAAGTATGGTCACAGATCTGGCTATACTGTCTGGCAGAGGTGCCTGGATCACAAGCCTGGCTTACCAGACTCATAGCTCCTTTGGCATGTAAAGGTGGGAATACACGATTAGAAAATCGACCGACCGGTCATCCGACGACCAAGAGGCGTTTGTTCGTTGGTCGAAATCGTGGCCTGGCCTATAGCCGTTTGGCGGCCGCAAAAATGCCTCAGCTTTCCGGGTGCATGTCATTTGGCGTGCTCCCGCACATGCGCAGTTCGCGTGGTTGCAGAGCCGCGCAGCGGCGCGATCTGTCACTGGCCGTATACCTCGGACACGGCCGATGACAGATCTGAGTACCGGCCCCCGTTGCCGGTACCATGTGACCTGTTGTGACCTATCACAGCAGGTCACATGACAGTTGTATACAATGGATGGCTTCATTCATGCCATCCATTGTATACTAGTGCCTAGCTGTGAATGGTCACAGAGATCACATGCACATGTCATGTGATTAGCTGTGGCCAAATCACAGCTAAGCACAAAAAAAAAACCCTGAATGAATCGATGTCATTCAGGTAAATGCTTGTTAATAGCAAAGTAATTCTTTGCTATAAGCAAATTGTGTAAAAAAAAAAAAAAAATACTGATCACTTCCCCAAAGTAGTACAATGTTACTATGGTAACATTGTACTACTTTGGTCATAGTGAAATATGAAAAAAATCTTAAAAAAATAAAAAAAATTTAATAAAAAATTTAAAAAAAAAATATATATATTTTTTTTTTTCATACTGTCACCAGTCAGTGTCCCTGTTCACTGCCATGCCAGTTATATGATGACGCTGTACTGCACTGGTGACAGTATGTAAAAAAAAAAAAATAGTGAAAAGAATTTTCCATTTTCATTTTCAATATTTCATTTTCTGAAAAATTATGACAAAAAAAATACAACTTCAAAAAACTCGCCATGCCTCTTATGAAGTATGTCGGACTGTCTACTCTGCAAAAAGATATCTGTACTGTCCTGACATTTGGGGGATATCTGTACTGTCCTGACATTTGGGGGATATCTGTACTGTTCTGACATTTGGGTGGATATCTGTACTGTTCTGACATTTGGGGGATATCTGTACTGTTCTGACATTTGGGTGGATATCTGTACTGTTCTGAAATTTTGGGGATATCTGTACTGTCCTGACATTTGGGGGATATCTGTACTGTCCTGACATTTGGGGGATATCTGTACTGTTCTGATATTTGTGGGATATCTGTACTGTCCTGACATTTGGGGGATATCTGTACTGTTCTGACATTTGGGGGATATCTGTACTGTCCTGACATTTGGGGGATATCTGTACTGTCCTGACATTTGGGGGATATCTGTACTATTCTGACATTCTTTGGACCTCAAGAAATTAGATTGGCTGTCAGTACTTCAGGATTGATCAATATTCAGATCTATCCCATAGTTTGTGACCTCTATAACTTTCCTACAAACTAAATAATACATCCTAATTTGGGTTATTTTCACCAAAGACATGGAGCAGAATACATCTCGGCCTAAATTTATGAAGAACAATTATTTATTTGTAAACTTTTATAACAGAAACAAAGATTTTTTGGTATTTTTTTGTTAATTTATCAAAAAATAAAAACCCCAGTGATGATTAAATACCACCAAAAGAAAGCTCTAGTTGTGTGAAGAAAATGATAAAATTTTAGTTTGGGTACAATGTTGTATGACCGCGCAATTGTCATTCAAAGTGTGAGAGCGCTGAAACCTGAAAAATATCCTGGGCAGGAAGGTGGAAAATTGCCCGGTGTTGAAATGGTTAACCAATTTAAAAAAATTGTTTGTCGGGCAATACGTAGGTGGTGGCTCCAATCCCTTCCAGCACCTTGAAAAGAGCGCGGTTCTCCAGGAGGTAAGCTCGTACGCAGGAAACTTCGTTATAGACAGGACAATTTTTTTTTCTTTATCGTAAATGAGATCCGAGTGATTGCAGATTTCATTCTAAAACTTTAATTTTTTTTTAAATAGAACAAACATGTTATACTTACCTGCAACGCAGGGAGAAGAAACAGAGCGTTAAGGTGGGAATACACGATTAAAAAATCCACCGACCGGTCATCTGACGACCGAGAGGCGTTCGTTCATTGGTCGAAATCGTGACCCACATTAACCAATCTAAAAAAATCGTTCATCGGGCAATACGTAGTGTTGACGTCTTCCGTACAAGTGGAAGTGATGCAGTGTGCGTGTGACCTTGTAGCCACGCCCTTCCGGCCAGAACGATCGATATACACAACGATGACCAGCAATGAGTATAATATCGTTTATTACATGACCTAGATACATAAATAGTGATACATAAAATATAATCTGCAGAATTCTGGTTTCATTATCTCATTAGACCAATCTACTTGTAACATTTGGATTTTTCATTCGTGCTTACGAAGATTCCTTGGACATAAACATCCGGGTCATCTTCTGTTTCCACTCATGCGTGATAGATTTTTTTCGTACCACCGCATAGGAAATCGATCGTTCGTATGCGAAACGACAAGATTTTTCAATGTTGTTCATCTGGATTTTTTCGTTCACAATATCGTTATCGGCAGGGGCAGACTGACAACTCATGGGGCCCCCGGGTAATAGGGGATCATGGAGCCCCTGTGTTCTTGCCCACGCTCAAAAAAGCCTATGAAAAAGGTACCAGGGGCATCTCATGGGGCCCCCTACTGACCCCGGGCCCTCGGGCAGTGCCCGAGTTTCCAAATGGTCAGTCCGCCCCTGGTAATCGGTGAAAACATCCTGCTCATCAACGAAGAGAAAAATCATTCGATCCGTGCTCCCGCAAAATTTTTTTGTACGATTTTCTGATCATGTGTACAGGGCATTAGACGACTCACATATCTATATTTCAGTTGAGAACAGGGGCGGACTGACAACTCATGGGGCCCCCGGGCAATAGGGGATCATGGGGCCCCTGTGTCCTTGCCCAAACTCAAAAAAGCCTATGAAAAAGGTACCAGGGGCATCTCATGGGGCCCCCTACTGACCCTGGGCCCTCGGGCAGTGCCCGAGTTTCCAAATGGTCAGTCCGCCCCTGGTTGAGAAAACATCCCAGCCCCTCTTGGTTAGGCACCTTGATTCGCATCGCATACTTTCAGCGCACAAAGCAATCCAGCATTTGCAGCCCGGGGAATACAGTGTTTAAAATTAGATTCATCCAGATCAAAGAGCAGATTATTATCACATAAAGAGCCCCCCAGCCCCTCCCCCCCCCGCCCTCTGCGGCACTATATTTAGGTAATATGAGGGGGTATTACCGCGTTATTGGCCTCCCTGAGATCAAGACCGTAAAGCAGCCGGATAGACGAGACTTTAATGCGATAAAAATGGAACATCTTTAATCACGGATTCTCAAATTGGTCCGCCAACCGCGATGCGTATCTGTGATGTTCGCCTGTTTGGTCTCGCACCAGCAATAGACGGAGGGAGAAGGGGGGGGGGGGATTGTTATCTCTTCAGGTTGATTCACGTAATTTACAGATATGGTACTTAAACACTTAAAAGCATTCAAAACAAGATTTGGTTTCATAGCTGGAGGGGCGGCGGGATGCGGCATGCACAGACACAATGGCGGGGCTGTGTGGATAGGACGCTGTGGTGTGCAGAAAGAGGACACCGCGGCGGAAAGGACTTTTTTGTCAATGATTTTTTTTTTTCTAAGGTGTGAAAAAACACGCTTTTAAAGCTGAACTCCAGACACAAAGATAAACTCAAAGATGAAAATATATATATGAGAGCGTTTGCTTTTTTTCCTACCAAATTGTATTTCTATCAATCCAGGCTTAAGATTTACACAGCTCTGCCACATAGCTCAGCCCTGTCTTGCAAGACAGGATGCTGCCGTTTAGTAAGTCTCATGGGTCTTGTCCGTTACTGGAGAGTGAAAGGAGAACCGGAGGAACTATTCTTTAGAAGATACTTTGTTACGTATCGCTTTAACCCCTCGCCATCCAGAGGATTTCCCCCCCTTCCTGACCAGGCCATTTTTCGTGTTACGGCGCTGTGTTACTTTAACTGACAATTGCGCGGTCATGCAACGCAGCACCCAAATGAAATTTATGTCTTTTTTTCCAGCAAATAGATCTTTCTTTTGGTGGTATTTATTTATTTCAGGTACTTCTAATGCACCATCAATTTACGCAGCACTTTACATATATATTGTACATTCACATCAGTCCCTAACCCTCAAGGGGCGTACAATCTAAGGGCCCTAACCCTCAAGGGGCGTACAATCTAAGGTCCCTAACCCTCAAGGGGGGTACAATCTAAGGTCCCTAACCCTCAAGGGGCGTACAATCTAAGGTCCCTAACCCTCAAGGGGCGTACAATCTAAGGTCCCTAACCCTCAAGGGGCGTACAATCTAAGGTCCCTAACCCTCAAGGGGCGTACAATCTAAGGTCCCTAACCCTCAAGGGGCGTACAATCTAAGGTCCCTAACCCTCAAGGGGCGTACAATCTAAGGTCCCTAACCCTCAAGGGGCGTACAATCTAAGGTCCCTAACCCTCAAGGGGCGTACAATCTAAGGTCCCTAACCCTCAAGGGGCGTACAATCTAAGGTCCCTAACCCTCAAGGGGCGTACAATCTAAGGTCCCTAACCCTCAAGGGGCGTACAATCTAAGGTCCCTAACCCTCAAGGGCCGTACAATCTAAGGTCCCTAACTCACATTCATACATACACATACTAGGGACAATTTACACAGGAGCCAATTCACCTACCAGCATGTCTTTGGAGTGTGGGAGGAAACTGGAGTATCTGGAGGAAACAGGGGCGGACTGACCATTTGGAAACTCAGGCACTGCCTGAGGTCCCGGGGTCAGTAGGGGGCCCCATGAGATGCCCCTGGTACCTTTTTCATAGGCTTTTTTGAGTTTGGGCAAGGACACAGGGGCCCCATGATCCCCTATTGACCGGGGGCCCCATGAGTTGTCAGTCCACCCCTGGGAGTAAATCCACACTGGCACAGGGAGCACACGCAAACTCCAGGCAGGTGGTGCCGTGGTGGGGATCAGGAGCGGACTGACCATTTGGAAACTGAGGCACTGCCTGAGGGCCCGGGGTCAGTAGGGGGCCCCATGAGATGCCCCTGGTACTTTTTTATAGGCTTTCATTAAACATTATTTGAGTCTACTACACTATGGGCTTTTCCATCTATTGCTCTTTACCGAGCACCTAATCCCCCAGAGCTCCCCCTGGTGACCACTGTACCACACTGAAGAGGCTGCACCCGTGTCCTTAAAGGGGACCTCCGGTTGAATATATCTTGATGACATCTACTTATCCTGGGTCGATTCCGTCTCTATGCTGAGAGGGACCCATTGGCAGACCTCCACTATACTATACACTGCGCATAACCATTGTGCGTCCGGTGAGTGCGCACTTTACCCATTACCTTGCCTCTCACCTATCTGTTTGAAGGAATTTTGCACTGAAGTCACACGGAGCTCTATTGTTTTAGAACATTTTTCATGCATATATGATTTATACTAAGGACTACTGATTTATTGAAGAACTCTTTATGTTTTTAATACAATTTACCATTAATGTTGCACTTAGCAGGGGATAAAAGACTGACCATGAAATGTGAAACTCGCACATCTCTGAGCAAAGTTGCAAAATCGGGCACTGCCCGAGTGGGGCCCTGAGGTCAGTACTTTTTGGGGGCCCCATGAGACAAAATGCACCCCCGGTTACCTATGAAAAATGTAAAAAAAAAAAAATGACATTTTTTTTTTTAGGCTTTTTTGAGCTTTGGGCAAGGACACAGGGGCCCCATGAGCTCGGGGTTCCACTATTTCCCGGGGGCCCCATGAGTTGTGGAAAGTCCGCCCCTGGTGGGGATTCAAACCAACGACCTTAATACTGACAGATGTAAGTGCTAACCATTTAGCCACTGTGCCGCCCATTTGATCACCTCTGCATTTTAATTTTTTTGCACTATAAACAAAAAAAAAGACCGACAATTTTGAAAAAAAAAAAAAACAATATTTTTGACTTTTTGCTATTAAATATGTCCAGTAAGAAATTTAAAAAAAATCAAATTTCATCATAAATTTATGACGACGGTGTTTCTAACTGCAGCCCTGGGCATCTCCCTCACTGAGAAGAGCTTGGTGGATATCAGGAGGCAACTGATAATCCTGTGGCTGGGTGAGTAAATGAACCTAGTGCTGGAAAGTCAGCGACTGACAATTGCACGGTCATTCAACGCTGTACATAAATTAAATTTGATCTCCTGTGCGTATTTTAGAGAAAAGACTGACAATTTAGAGAAAAAGACTATATTTTTTACTTTGTGCTATTAACCAATTCAATACCGGGCAATTTTACCCCCTTCCTGCCCAGGCCAGTTTTCAGGTTTCAGCGCTCTCACACTTTGAATGACAATTGCGCGGTCATACAACATTGTACCCAAACT